TGTGTGTGTGTGTGTGTGTGTGTGTGTGTGTGTGTGTGTGTGTGTGTACACGTCAAAACCAGGGCTTCAGGCATGGTGGGCAAAGCACCCTACTGTTGAACAAGACCCCCATCCCTGGTTCTGCATTTTGACAATGCTGTAGGAATTTGCTTTCCCACAGGCAGTAAGAGACTTCCCATGGAAGAGCTCGCCACAGCCTGTGGGGGGTCAGTGAGGAAGCCTCTGGAGTCTCATCAGTCTAATGAGGGGATGGCATCTCATCCCTAGCCTCTTCAGTGCTGAAGAGCCCTGTGTGCCCAGTCCTTTCCTGCCCTTGACTGCTTCCCACGTGGCTGTTAGCAGTCTCTCGGGGGTATCTGTCCAGACAGTGCCTGAGGTTACTTGTGCAGAAGGCTTACATTTCAGGAAGCCAAATGGTTTATTGTTCCGGTTTATGACTTGTGGATTTCGAGATGTGGCTAGAAAGCCCCTGTAAAGTGTTTTTTCTGTGTGATTTCCCATTGCTTTTGAGGCTCTAGAGTTCCATGTTTAAGTCTATGATCTGGAGTTTCCCCGATGTCCCCACTACCACCATATACTGATTGCTACAAGACCATTACTAATTGAAAGGTCCCTTCATTTCCACGATGCTACATTTCTGTGTTTGGTTCGAATTCTGGTCTTTTGACTTATTCTGCTTGCATTGCCCCAGAGTCCCAGCCTGTGCTTCCTCAGCCTTCCTCATGACTGACCCCACTCTGAAGCTTCTGAAAGGCTGCAGGCATCACACAGATTGTCAGCACAGACAAAGACGCTTTGGAGAATTCAAGAGTTTTAGGAACCATTTCATTGTGCCGCAGTGGCCAGCTCTAGGTCTTAAGCAGGGGAGTAAAAACATCACCGAGTGTTCAAAACATATGCTCAAAACGGCCTTTCTATAGAGACTGGCAGAAAAGAGCGGCAGTGCAAGCAAGAATTGCAGTTGGAGGCTGTTTCTGAGCCTCTAGTGAGAGTTCACGCCGGGCCCTGACAACGTGTTCTAGACATTTTGAGACTACCGTTCATAAGCGCTTTTGGATGGGCTGTGGCAAGAGTGAAAAGGAGAATAAAGATGAACTCTTAGGTGTTGAGCTGGGATGTGCAAATGTCAGCAAGCTAGGGCCCGTGGGGCCTTTCCAGCCCAGCGCCTGGGCTAGTGTGCTCCATAATCTTAAAAGGTGCGTTTCTCTTCTTAAATAACATTTTAAAGGTAGCAACAAGAGCAGTCAGACATAGATACAGCCACATGCATCCTGTAGGGCCTGGGGTATTTGCTGGTCTGGTCAACCACGGAACGTGGGCCAACTTCAGTGGTGTGCACTGAGCATGGAGGGCGGGGGGCAGGGTGTTCGTAGCCAGTTAGCGGAGGTCAGGATGGTGGTCATCTCTCTGTAATGTTGGACTCCAGTCCTTAAGTAGGGAAAGGTGTACCAGAGTCCCATCAGGAGTCTCATTTTGTCTTCCAGGGCATTTAGAGATGTGCCCTTCAGCATGTCTCAGAATAATGGGGTGAGCGTGGGTGGCGTTACTGTCTGGCCTTGTAACATGGGGCCGTGTGTTAGGGAGACTGTGCCAGATGAGACAGCAGTGCGAGCTCTCACTTTCCAGTGAGCACTCCCGGGTAAGATCCCACTAGTCGGGAAACTTGTTAACTTTTTCTGGTTTCACAGAAGTCAGTTCTAGCTGAAAATGGGCATTTTTGTCATCTTACTTTAAGCATGTCCGTCTTTGAGCCCTGCCAGCAGGGAGCATCTCCCTGCCTGGGGCTCTTAGCGTTGAATGTGGGGTTTGAACCTTTGCAGCCTATTGCCGGAACTCCCTGGACGGCCAGTGGTACAGCTACGACGACAGCACAGTGGAGCCCCTGCGAGAGGATGAGGTCAACACCAGGGGCGCTTACATCCTGTTCTATCAGAAGCGGAACAGCATCCCTCCCTGGTCAGCCAGCAGCTCCATGAGAGGTGTGTGCCTCAGCTCAGGAGGGGCGTGCTCGTGGAGGTCACACTAAGAGTGGAGGGGTGCACTCGTGTAGGTCACACTAAGAGTGGAGGGGCGTGCTCATGGAGGGTCATGTGCGTGGGGGTCACTTTAAGAGTCGAGATGTTCTGAGCCAGTGGGATGGCTTCGTTGTAAGGATGCCTGCTGCCATGTTTAGCGACTTGAATTTGATCCTCGGAACCTGTTCCTGCAAGTTTTCCTCTGACCTCCACGCTGTGCTATTGAGGCATGAGCATATGTACAGATTCACACACACACACACTCTCTCTCTCTCTCTCTCTCTCACACACACACACACACAAAGTAGTTTGGTTTTTAAAGGAATTGGTGATGCTCCTTTGAGCACCTAGGAAGGAGGGCAAGGACCCCTGGTCCCAGCTCTCTATTCCCCAAGCCAGTTGCCCATATCAAGAAATGGGGAAAGAATACAGTTTGTAAAATCTGGGCCATCTGATGCATGCTGTAGCAGTCTCCTATTGAGCCGCGTGTGGTTAGGAGTGGACCAAGCAAGCCTACTGCTAGAAAGAGAGAGGCAGGTGAAAGCACAGGGCCTTTCTAGAAAACATGCCTGTCTACCAGCTTCCCAGTGAATTGATTTATAAGCCTCCCAGTTGTTTGGAAGTACAGAGGAGACATGTGTAATGCTTTTATGTGCCTTGTCCCACACTGTGAAACAGCCACCTTTATCTTTGGGACAGAAGGGCATTATAGAAGTTCATCCTGGCTAGAGAGATGGCTCCATGGACAAGAACACTTGCTGTGTAAGCATGAGGATTGATTTAGAAAAGAAAAACCAGGCGTGCCTAAGTATGTTCCTCTGGTCCCAGAACTATCCACAGCACAGAGAGAAGAAGCCAGCCTCACTAGCCCCAGGCTCACTGATTTACTCTACCTAAAGGAATAAGGAGGAAAGTGATTGATCAGGGTACCCAGTGTCTTTCCCTGTCCTCTGTGAATTTATAGATACTCACACCCACATACTTTTACATTCACACACATAGGTTCTTATACTTTCCTTCCATTCCTCCCTTTCTCCTTTCCTTTCTTCCCCTTCTACACACACACAAAGAAAGAAAGACATTAAAAAAAGAAAGAAAGAAAGAAAACACCCCTCCCCCAACACAATTGTTTCCTAACCATTATTGGAAAATAACCAGAGAAAATCAAGAGTTCTTCAGGTTTGAATCAAAACTAACACAAGCCCGCCTTCCATGTATAGAAGGAAAAAAAAGAGGAGTAGAGATCCTGGCATGGTGACACATGCCTGTAGTCTCATCCCAGGGGAAGCTGAGACAGGAAGGTCATGAGTTTTTGACCAGTCTGAGCTGATTCATAAGACCATCAAGTAATATGCAGCTTACTAATAAAAACCTTGTTAGAGAAGGCCAGAGGGGACACATTCTTTATGCCCGCTCTGAAGATTTGGCTCCTCAGACTTGGGTTTGTTCATTGTGTGTGGTCCGGTAGGCTCTGGTGCCACGGGTCCTGGGATAAATGCTATCCTTCTGACTATGGCTTTTTGCTCTGGCTACTAAAATTTAGGAATCTGGCTCTGGAAAAATAATCTCATTTGGGAAGCCAGGATGCACCGAGGAGCCATCCTTCCTGTGCTCACTCTAAACACCCTGGTTCTGAGGCTGTCCCCTGCAAGCTCCTCCTCTGGCCATTCACTTTGTCTCTATTGTTCCCGTGTGGTTCTGTTAGTCCAGGGCTGAGTGATAGGGACAACTCTGCAGGCTCCCTGGGGATACGCCAGGTCCAGCTTTCTCCTTTGCTTCTTCTGCAGGCTCCACCAGCTCCTCCTTGTCTGATCATTGGCTCATGAGGCTTGGGAGCCACAACAATAGCACAAGAGGAAGCTTGCTGTCCTGGAGCTCCGCCCCCTGCCCTTCCGTGGCCCGGGTACCTGACTCTCCGGTCTTCACCAACGGTGTCTGCCACCAGGACAAGGGTATGTGGTTAGATCGACTAGCCCCTCGTAACCATGAACAGAAAGAGCCAATTCTGATACGAGCTGTGTCATCTCTTGAGGTCTTTCTGACACTCACCAGCCTCTCCATCCATCCACAGACGCAGTGGTCCTCTAGAGCCACAGGTTGTACCGTAGTAGTCAACCAACCATAGATAGGAAATAGAAAAAGAAAGAGATCAGACTTACACTAAACATGTACAGACTTCTTCCTTGTCATTCCCTAACAATAATAACTATGTATATAACATTTGTACTTCATCAGGTATTATATGCAATCAAGTGGTTATTCAGAGTGTACAGGAATGTGCAGGAGTATAAAACAGGCGGGAGGGTGTGTGCCAGCCCCATGCAATTGCTACAGTATCTTCTACAAGATGTTTGAGCATCTTCAGGAGCCAAGCTCCATGCTCTGGCTCTGCATCCATTTTCTGTTCCCACAGGGCTTAGTACGTCATGGAGCAGGTAAGTTAACTAACACAGTGGTGTAGTTTAAAGCAGGGACAGAGGAAAAGAGGTAGAAAGTCAGGGAAGGAGGTAGCAGAGGCTGGGGTGATACAGAGAGCCCTGTTTGCTGCGGCAGGGTCAGGGCACTTGTGCTCATGCAGAAGGCTGGGAATATGTTCATCACAGGTGCCATGAAAGATGAGCATGGGATGGTGTGAGGGGCAGGAGAAACCGCAGCCTTAGAGGAGAGTGAGTGAGGAGGAGGGTAATGGGAGGAGGATGGAGCAGAGAGATGGGGAAGGGTGATGGGAGGAGGGTGATGATGGGAGGAGGATGGGGCAGAAAGTTAGAGGAGGAGACTGATGGAGGTGGTAGGGCAGCTGATGATGTGCCATTTGGACTTTGCTTGAAGTGCTGTGGATAGTGAGGGAGAGTTTGGAGCGGGACAGTAATCAATATGGTTTATACGTTACAGTTTTTTAAATCTTTCATTTTTATTTTATGTGTATGGGTGTTTTGCAAGCGTGTCTGTCTGTGCATCACATGTGTGCAGTGCCCTCAGACTAGAAGAGGGTGTCAGATGCCCTGGGACTATTACAAACAGTTGTGAGGCGGGTACCATCTAGGTCCTCTAGAAGAGCAACCAGTGCTCTTAACTAATGAGCCGTCTCTTCTGCCCCTGGTATACATTTACACATATATTATATATATAATAGATAATTGTTATGTATTTGAATGTTTTTCATGTACGGACATATGAGCACCATGTGAGTGCCTGGTGCCCTTGGAGGTCAGAAGAGAGCATCAGATTACCTGGAACTGGATTTATAGAAGGTTCTAATCCACTATGTGGGTGCTGGGAATCAAACCTGTATCCTCTGGATGAACAGCAATTGTTTTTAACCGCTGAGCCATCTCCCCAGCCCCCTGGTTTATATATTTAAAGTTTACTTTGTCTACTGCATGCAGAATCCATCCTCAGGGGCTGGCGGGTGTGTCAGACAGAAGGCCGGTTAGGAGACCGTCTTGTTTTCATAAGGTTTGGATGGATATGTTGAGGAAGAGATAGATGGTCAGACTGTGGATCAACTCACAGAATCTACTGGCGCTGGGTGCAGCACATGAAAGAAGGAAAATGATCCAGGATGCCTTGGCCTTTGTCAAAGGAAAAACTAACAACAGGATCATTGTACAGTTGGCAGGATGGGAAAGAGTTGGGTAGGCGCAGGGTCATTTCTGGAAGGAGCCACACAGTTGAGGGCAGGTAGTTTGAGACTCTGGCGAGGCATTCATAGCAGCATGAGAACCGCAGGGTCGAGACATAGAGAGTCACCAGCACACCTGTGACAGCCACGGCAGGCTGAGCAATCCACGGAGATTATGAAGATAAGAAAGTGGAGACTGAAGGCCAAACCTGGCAGCTGTAATGTGTGTAAGGCTGGAGTGAGGGTGGAAACAGAACAGAAAGAGCAGCCGGGGCCAGGAGGAGCGAGCCAAGCAAGGGGTGTTCCCAGGTGCTGGGAGGCATCCTTCAGAAGGGAGGCTGAGCACCAGGGTGGCTGGAGGGCCAGTGGTGACTTCCCAGGGGTCTTTGTGGGTGGGAGGGAATGGAAGACCAGCTGAGATGCAGGACATGGTGGCACATGCACACAGCATCAGCAGTGTGGTAGAAGGCCAGTAGGTGCCCAGGAAGCCGGGCTCAGGGCGGTTCTTGTTTTCCTGTGCTGAAAGAGAGCTAACCAAGCACGCTCACATTCAGATGTCCTTGTCCAATAGAGGAACTGCAGGAAAGCAGGGGATGGGATGGTTACAGGAACAAGTCCTCAGACAAGAACTCAGTGCATAGAGTCTGTGTGTGGTATGTGTGTGTCAGTCTGTCTGTGTATGTGTGTCTCCTTGGACAGAGAAAAGTGGTCAAAATTACTTTTCAGTTGGATGTAGTGATGCATGCCTTTAAATTCTAGACCCAGGGAGGCAGAGGCTGGTGGATCTCTGTGAGTTCAAGGCCAACCTGGTCTACATAATGAGTTCCAGGACACCCAGGGCTACATAGAGAAACCCTGTATCAAAAAAAACAAACAACAAAAAAAAACCTAACTAAATAAATTTTCATTTTTCCTTTAGTTTCTCGTTTTAATATAAAATCTTAATAGAAACACTATGCAGATATCACATGTGTAGAAACATTAACCCAACATTTGATCATGACATCAGTATGTGCACTTGTGATAGACTTTAACGTATATGCACACACATACATTATGAGTACACATTGTATAAACCATGCAGATGGTTTCACTGTCTTAATGTACTACTAACAAATATGTACACTAATTACACGTGTGCACCGGATGAATTATCATAAAGTGGACATATTCACGCTCCAGGCTAGGAAGTGGAGCATTCTCTGTTGGAGGTGTGCTCAGTGACAGAGCCCTTGCCTGCCACGCACAGGCACTGCATTCAGTCCCCAGCCCCAACGAGGGAAGGAAGGAATGTAGGTGGAAAGGTGGGAAGGTATCGCTGGCTGGTTCTGGAATCCTGCTTCCTCATACCTGTTTCACTCATTGCTTCCCACTCTCATAGAATCTATGCCAGATTGGTTTTTACTGTGTTAAGTAAAAGATGGACGGGGGCCAGCTGAGACACACCTGCTGGACTTTATTCTGGGTGTGATGAGTTTAGAGCGGGGCTATAGTCAGCCTGGTTTATAGTTAAAAATATATGTTTACAAAGGTGAGTTTTACCTGGGCAGCCACATGGCATGCCGACTTTGTGTTTGGCTCGCTCTGTTGACCCCTGTTCTTGTGAGGGGCATCTGGTACATCCAGCAATGGGTTGGTTTTTCTTTTACTTATTTCACTTACAAATAAAATCAACTCGGATTCACACTCTAGAGAAGTTAGCTTGCATATGTGAGGGGAAGAGACTAAAAGCAACGGCAGGGGTTAGGAAAGCGTATGAAGGGTAAGGTGGAGGTAAACCTCTGGAAGTCACTGTAGAGGCTGGCATAGAAGTCAGCTCTGGAGAAATCTGGCCTTTTTGACAAAGAAGCGTCTTGGATTTTCATTCCTGAGACAGCAGTGGATTCTCTGTGACTCCTTGTGCTGTCTCTGTGGAGCCCACGTGGTAGATTATCTCTGGTTGGCAGCTGCCCCTTGGCAGACGGCACTGTCTCCACTGCTAGTATTTCCCATGTTGTAAGGATAGCTCACATTTTATTCTAGTGTGGCTAGAATAAGATATTAGGAGTTGTTTCCAGTTTGAATTATTATTAGTACTACCAGTTGAGCATCTTTTTTTTTTTTTTTAAAGATTTATTGTGTATAAAATGTTCTGTCTGCATATACACCTGCACACCAGAAGAGGGCACCAGATCTAATAATAGATGTTTGTGAGCTACTGTGTAGTTGCTGGGAATTGAACTCAGGACCTCTGGAAGTGCAGAAAGTGCTCTTAACCTCTGCGCCAGCCCCGGTCAAGCATTCTTAATCTGGAAATCCCAAATGCTTCAAAATATAAGATCTCTTAACCAATATGACACCACTACCTGTCAAAAATTTTACACCATGAAATCCTGCCTTATGCACAGAATATTAAGGATATTATATGTCACTCTCGTGCATAAGGTTTACATGATGCATAAAAGAGTTCCGATTAGCCCTTTACAGAGAAACACACATTGCCCAGGAATGTCATCTTCCCAGGAGCTCTGTGCGGATGGCAGCTTCTGGGTCTAGCACTTAGGCTGAAAGGAGTGTCTCAGTGTGCCACCTAGTTTACGTCAACTGGACTCTCGCTGGAGTTGTCAGAGAGCGGGAACTTCAGTTGAGAAAATGCCTCCAGCAGATCTGGCCACAAGCAGATAAGCCTGGGAGGCATCTTCTTAGTTAGTGATTGATGTGGGCGGGCTCAGCCTGTTGTAGGTGGTGCTAGCTCTGTGTGGGTGGTCCTGGTTGCCACGAGAAAGCAGGCTGAGCAAGCCATGTGGAGCAGGCCAGCAAGCAACACCCCTCCATAGCCTCTGCATCAGCTCCTGCCTTCCACTTCCTGCCCCAACTTCATTCAGAGACGGGCTATCGACGTGGAAGTATAAGGCAAGTAAATTATTTCTCCCCCAACTTGCTTTTGGTCAGGGTGTTTCGTCACAGCAATATTAACCCTAACTAAGACAGAGTTTTGTGGGGTTTATAACTAAGAGGCTTGGGGCAGATGTGAAAAGACGGTGCTGTATAACTGAAGGAATGTAAAAGCACCTTACTTTTACAATTACAGGAAGAAGTAACTATCTAAAAAAAAAAAAAAAATCCCAAGAGGTCTTTCCCAGAGACTGTTGTGAACACAGGGCCCCAGGGCTTACATGTCCCAAATTGTCAGGACAGACCTTCTGCTGATCAGTGTCCTCTGTGGCTTTTCTTGGGCGTCGAAGGTTTTAGAACGTCTTTTTCCTTCTTAGATCTTTCCAGGTAATATTTCGTTTCGGCTTACATTCCCTTTTTGATGCTATCTGGGAGTTCCAAGTATTCAGGGCTGTG